GTGGGGTGTGTGGGTCCTTTTTGACGGGGGTATGGGGGCTGCATGACACTCATGCCCCGCTGTGCCCACTCCACCAGGGATGCCGCCTGGCAAAGGGCAGATGACCCCGCTGCTGACTGCCCCGAAGATCTCCGCGCCCACCCCGCAGGGCACCCATGGCCCCTCCGCAGGGGACTGCCCTCAGCCCTCGGAGGGTCCCAGCTCGCCGCAGGGTCGCAGCAAGAAGAAGAGCCGTAAGCACCAAAGGTTCATGGAGCGCCGAGCACTGCTGGAGCAGAAGGGGCTGCTGAGCCCCCGCAGGCGCCTGGGCAGCCAGGCCCCCGTGGTGGGGCTGGAGGCATGCAGCACGCTCACCAAGGAGGATGGCACCCCGCCACCGCGCTGCAGGAAGGTTCCCAAGCCCAAAAAGGTCATCTCCCCATTCCTGTCCCCCTCCGCCTCTCCGGACAGCATAGCCAGGCACCACTCCGTGCTGCTGTCGCAGGGGAATGGCAGCTCCAAGGGGGTGCGGATGGCCTCCCCAGTCCTGCGGCCAGGCAAGTACGTGGCCATCGATTGCGAGATGGTGGGCACTGGTCCTCAGGGCAGGCTGAGCGAGCTGGCACGGTGCTCCGTGGTGAACTACGAGGGGGATGTAATTTACGACAAGTACGTCCAGCCCGAGCTCCCTATCGTGGACTACCGGACACGCTGGAGCGGCATCACCAAGCAGCACATGAAGAGCGCGATTCCTTTCAAGGCTGCCCAGGCGGAGGTGAGGAGAAAAAGAGAAATTTAAAAAAAAAAAAAATTTAAGAAGCTGTACGTTCTCTGCCAGACACAAATTGGGATATTTAGTGGCCCATGCTGAGCTGGCTTGAGGCAGAGACACAAGCATGGGATGGGGAGCCACTGAAACTGTAGTGGGCTGGTTCGCTTGTTACTGCTCTGTTCTGGGAAAAAACTAAAAACTAGAACTGAAGGAACTGAATTTAACACAAAATGGTTTATCTTATGCTTAATTACTCCTTCTTTTACTGTACCGTCTGTCTAACCCTTTCTGACGCTTCCAGATCCTGAAGATCTTGAAAGACAAGATTGTAGTAGGACACGCCATCCACAATGACTTCCAAGCCCTGAAGTACATCCACCCGAAAGACAGGACCCGAGACACCAGCCAAATTCCAAAAGGCAGGGCTGCCCAGCAGGGCCAGCGTCTCGCTCAAGAGCTTGGCTAGACACCTGCTCCAGAAAAAGATCCAGGTAAGGACCAGGAGCCTTGAGATGGGGAGCAGTTCCTGGTTTTGCTACAAGCCTGTGTGGTCAGCCTGGTCCCCCCATCTCCATGGGTGCTCTCTGAGATGGAGATGAACCTTGTTTGTCCTGTGCTCCCAACTATGATCAAGCTGAGGGAGTCCAGGACCTCCCAAGCTGACCATGAAGCATTTCAGTAAAGTGGAAACAGGACCTGTGCCCTCCAGAAAGAGATTCCTCCATCTTCTCTACTGCATTGAACCTTTGCTGTCTCCAAAACCCCAGCACATGTGTCCTTCCAAGCAAGCAGGCAACGTGACCTGTGGTATTTTTGTCGCCCCCTTTATCTAACGAGGCTTTTCCCCCTTTGTTCAGGTTGGCCGCAAAGGGCACTCGTCGGTGGAGGATGCTCAGACAGCCATGGAGCTGTACAGACTGGTGGAGGTGCAGTGGGAGACTGAGCTGGCCCGTAGCCTGCCCCTCCGGCCCCCCAGTCCCATCACAGATCCCACTGCAGACAGCAGCCAGTACATGGATGACCAGTACTGGCCCACAGACCTGATGGCAAGCAGCCTGTGAGGGGGGACAGCGTCTCCTCCATGTGTTTCAGGACATCCTGGTGCCTTCAGCTATTAAAAGTGGAGGTGGCTGCTGACCTTCCCAGGGCTTGTGCCCTGTGGGCTCTGCCCAGCACCCAGTCGTGCTGCAGGCAGCAGCGCAGGGGAGTTGGACGCCCCCAGCCCTGCTCTGGGACAGAGAAATGGTGACACTTGGACAGCGGCGATCTCCTGAAAACTGTCTGCAGCCTCTTGCTGTTGCACAGAAATAAACGCTGTGGCTGCGCCCTGTTCATCTGTCACTTGGTGCTGGGGGATGAGCAAGGTCCTGCTGTCAGCCTGGAGGAGCCCCCGTGGGGGTGTGATGGCTGCAGCCGTGGTCTGGGGCTGCCAGGGCACCTCCCATGTCCTCTGGGAAGGGGGTACCCCCGTGGTGGGCAAGTGGCAGCTCTTCCTGGGGGCAGACTGAGGTGTCTTGCTGATGGCCAAAGGCTGCAAACCATCCAGGGCCAGTTAAACAACCAGTTTCCTCCTCACTTTCTTTGCACAGTGAAGCCTGAAAAGAAAGTCTGGGTCTAATCGATGTCCAGCCTGCACAAAAGCATAGGATGCACTTCGTTTTCAATAGACGATTCACATAATTGTCCAATTCTGAAATAAAAATTGTTCTTGCTAAACCATTGTGTATGTACATGTACTGTGTGATCTGATGTGGCAGCTCTCCAGGAGGGAGAGGGCAGGGATGAGGTTGGCAAATGGCTCCCTGTGTGCTGTGCCATGCCCCAGGGCTTAAAACCCACCTGCAACTAGAAAAGGTGCTTTGAGTGGTCTGATGGTGGCTGGAATAAGCAGTTCCTTGGGGTATGGGCTTGTCCCCTCTGCTCTAGGGACATCCCTGTGAAGGCAGGAGGAGCAGGGGATGGGCTCAGCCAGAGCCCTGGGGTCCAGTGCGAGAGAAAACATCCCGCTCTGTCACCCTCCAGCAGCTGGGCTGTCCCAGCTTGGGGAGCTCCCTTGGGGAGCTCCGTGTGTTAGTGGGATTTGCCCACCCCACAAGTCAGCATCCCTGTGTACAGGTCTGGGAGCAGGAGCTGTGCCTGCTCTGCGGGGTGGGAGCGATGCTGAGCTGCGGCGTGGGCTGCTGTGCCGGTGTGGGGACGGGGCGATGCTCCCCTGCCATGAGGCTGCTGCTTCACGGGAGGTGCGCTGCGCAGATGCACCCCAGCTGGGTGGGCGAGCACCCGAGGGGGGGTTTGGGGCTGGTACGGGGTTCGCATGCTTCCCCGAGCAACTGAACAGCCGTGGTTATAGAAATTTGGCATTTTTTTTCTGGGTACCTCAAGGCTGACCCCTTTAGCACAGGGGTCCTGCTGCCAGGGCTGTGAGACAGGAGGGGGCTGGAGGGCTGCCAGCACCCCTGGGGCTTTCTGGAGCCCGGCCGCAGCACGGTGCGGGTACCAGCCAGGGCTGAAAGGAGTCCATGTCCCCCGTGGCCAGGCTAGACGGGCCTCAGGCTTTTCCTGGCAGCCAGGGAAGGCGAAGGCGAGGGCGAGCTCCGGCCCAGGCTTGGGAAGCGGCCAAGGAGCCGGGTGACGCAGGCACACCTGACGCACACATCGGTGCCATTACAAGACGCATCTTGCCTTTCCTATCTTAACTCCTCCCTGCCTGGCAGAGGAAGCCAGGGACAGCTCAGAAACGCTTCGAATACACGTCGGACGTGTCTCAAAAGCTCTGCCCTCCCCGTGGGCCAAGCACAACCATCCTTCAACAGAAATAATAACCTGGGCTGCGCCGTGAGCGCGTGGTCTGGGCGCTCTCCACCAGACCTGGTAGGAAATATGGCCCCACTGTAGGTCTTTAAGTCCTGCTTGTGCCACTTTGTCCCAGGCATGTTCCTGATGCAGCAAACACAGCTGGCACCCCGCCCCGTGCAAGCCTTGGGGTGCAGCTCAGCTGAGCCCCAGCACGATGCTGTGCAATGTCAGCAGGACCTGGCAGGGTATGGGAGGGACCTGAACCCCATGAGAGCACCCAGGAGGGTGCAGGAGTAGCACAGATGGCACAGGGTTTTTTCTCTATTTCCTCCTCTCTGCCGTTTCCACCTTTCCCAGGGTGGCAGGAGGGTGTAGGAAAGGTGAAAGCTGAGCAGATCAGCAGACCCACCATCAGATGGTGGCATCCCAAAGCCAGTGCGGCAGAGCTGTCTTCTGCTCCCAGGAAAGCAGACCCGGAGGAAGGGCACAGCGGAGGGATGTTTTGCTCATGGCCATATAACCTGGCCCATATAACTGCATCCCCTCTGGGGGTACATGGGTTCACGGAGACCTTGCACGGGGCACCCCACAGCTCCTGGCTTGTTTGTCTACCTGATGCCCCCCTTGTTGTCTCCCCATCCCACCCTGTCTCACCACCCCATAGCACTGACTTGCCCTAAGACACATGGTGGCTCAATGTGAGACACGGGTGTGTTGGGGTGAGGCTGGAGAAAGCTGCAAAAGGAGGTGGAAGGCCACGAGGGTTTATCAGCCTGTGACTCAGCCTGCCTTGCCGTCAGCCAGCGGCAAGGGGAAGGCAGAATTAAGGGAAAAAACACCCCACATTTCTGAAGTGTTGACTATCCAAGCACTTTAGTGAGACCCACTGCCAAAAGTAAGTCTGGCCTGGGCTCCACCAAGGGACAGATTTCTTTAAGCACTCATTCCCTGTGATCGAGGTCAGCTTTTTCCCTGCTTGCCCACAGCGGAGCTCCCCCAGCCTACCTGCATGGCTGCCTGCATGCCCTCCTGGCAGCATAGCCCCAGGCTTGCACAGTGGCATGAGGCTCTGGGAAAGTCCCAGGCTGCCCCTGAGAGCTTGTCCCCCTTGCCACCACACTGATTTAACCCCCCTGCTTTGCAGACAAATTTGCAGGCAGCAAGGCAGCCAAAGGCCAGCTGCTCTTCAGTGTTCATGTGCTCTGCAAGCTTTGCTTCTACGTCATGATCTCAGGGAAGCAGAGAAACAAATTTGGGGTGTCAATCCCCAGTTATATCAGATTTGAAGGGCCAGAAAAAACCCAAACACTGTGCACTGCAGCTCCCCAGCCCCCTGAGGCAAGGTTCCTGATGGGCAAACCCCACCGTGGATGATGAGGTGTGGTGGCAATCCACTCCGTGCGGACAAAGGGGTGTTTGCTCTGGATAATCTGAATGGTAACATTTGCTCTGTTTGCACCTGGTGAACCCTTCAAGAGCTAATCAGGATTTGCACAGGTGTTTGTGAATATTCACCTATATGCCAGGCAGTTGCTATGGCTGAAAGCAGCCAGCCTTTGCTCTGGTTCATCACTGAAGCAGCCTGCTGGTTCTTGTGCTGGGAGGCTGAGCATCTTTAGGAAGGCTGAGCATCTTTAGGCAGGCGAAGGAGAGCTGGGCTGGCTCACCATTTACGCTAAATTTTGTGATAATTGAAGAATCTGTGGAAAACTCGGCAGTTATCTGAACGACCCTGAATAATGATTAACCCAAACACACGAATCCAGAAATGGGCTTTTTTATCAGAGGGAAAACATTGTCGAATGAGTTTTTTCCAGCCAGCTGCAAGAGCAGGTAACTGATAAGCCCGTCATTGGAGTGGGGCTGAGCCAATGGGAGCCGATGGTGATGGCTTTTACTTCTGTCTAGCAACAGCTTCTCCTTGAGCAGCAGATGGCAATTCAATGCTTTCCCTTGCTTTTACTGGGCTTCCCCCTTCCTGCCATCCTGCTACACAGGGGTTTTCACGGGAGACACTCAGAAATGGAGTTTCGTGTCGATTGTCCATGGTTTTATGCGTGTTTTGGTGTCTATTCCTGTCCCACATGGTGAGAGTTTTGCAGGTGTAAAAGTGGATGTATGCCCCCATCCAGCTCGCATCCCGGACTCTGCTCACACCCTGCCTTGCCCATGCACCCAGGGCTCTGCTTCTGCTGGTTGGATGTCGGACACCCATAGGGTGCTTGAAATAGCACCATAGCAGAACAGCAGCAGTAGCAGGAGACCCTGCGCTAGGGATGTGTCTGACCCTCCCGCCCTGCATCACCAGTGCCTGGCCATGGTCCAGCACCTCTCCCAGCTGCTGGGGGCTCTTTGCATGGGGACCACGGCTGGGAGCAGCATCCCCTGGTCAAACACCTGGTTTGCTTTGATGCTGGCTCTGGTTATCATGGTACATGTAGTCAAAGTGCCACATAAAAGCCCCAAATGTCTCCGGCTGTAGTGATGCTGGTACCTAATAACAGCCTGGAGCAAGCCCCTAACATGGGGAAGTCTGTCCACTCGCTGTGGGGACACAGAGGGACAATTCACCCCGTTTGCAGGTAAAGAGTAAAGGCTTCACCCAGGTGACTGGCTAGAGACCAAACTGGTCGCAGTGGAGGGAGGAACTGGCCTCCCTGCGTCCCCGCCCCATCAGTAGCCCCACCCACCATCACCCCTCTCCTCTACGCTCTGAGCACAAATTAGAAGGCAGAAAACTCACAGCTAGCTATAAATTAAAAGCTCAGGAGCCTTAATGACCTGTTGGGCCAGAAAAAATATATAGGTGTGATGTGGAGATGAATAGGCACATCTGGCAGCTGCTTAGCACTTTGGCTGCAGGAGGGATATGTGTGTGCATGTGTGCGTGTGCATGTGTGCGTGTGCATGTGTGTGCGAACCACCAGCACAGCCGCCCGGATTGGCTGCAAAACCCCTTCCCGACCAATGCCGGGGACCAGGGTGGCCTAGCAACAGCCTTTCCCTAATGAAAAACAAGCCACTTAAGCGTCGTGACTGTCTGCAAATGAGAGGAAAAGCCACAATTCCCAGCAGGCTCCATCCTCCCCAGGGAGCTGGCCCCAAAGGGGGTGCAAAGGCTGCACTAGATGGGCTGGGGTGGTCTGATCCAAGTACCCGTGTTCTGCTTAGTCCCTGTTCCGTGGATACGTTGGGTGCGCTGGAAGGGTTTGCTGTCACACAAGGCACCATACAAGGAAGACCCCGGGGGAGAAACCCCGTCGTG